ACAAAGGAAACCACACACGAGTCTATTATTTCCAAACTTGACATCGCGGAGGAATTCTGCGCACATTGGTCTCAAGAATCCAACGACATCAACTTCTCTTCCACTTTTCGATCCCACAAATCTAACTTTTCGTTCAACAGCACCAATTACTACTCTTGCCACTCAGCCAAATTTCTTGACCAACCTATTTTTCCCATCGAACTACACAGCGCGCTCGCAAAACTTAAAGGTAAATCTCCCGGACTTGACCGTATCCCTTACAAAATGCTTAAACACCTACACCCTTCAGTGAAACTCAGATTACTTGACCTTTTCAATGCAATATTTTCCTCTATAATTCCGCAAAACTTCAAACTAAGCCAAATTATCCCTCTCAATAAACCTAACACAGACAAAACTCTTCTAGCATCCTACCGTCCCATTTCACTGAATTCTTGCATCTCCAAACTCCTGGCTATGGTGGTTTGTATCTCGCAACAAATCAATCGATAGCCGGCAATCAGGATTTAGAAAGGGTAGTTCAATATCCAATTCTCTAGTCTCCCTAGACTATTGGATAACGGCCGCCCTCAGCGCAAAAAAACACATTTCTCTTATATCACTAGATTTCTCAAAGGCCTTTGATAAGATTGGACTACACACAATCGTAGACGAGCTTGTACAATGGAAAATGAGTCCGAAAATCATACAATATATCATTAACTTTATGACCAACCGTAAAATATTAGTGACCCTAAATAATCATAGTTCTAAAATTCGTCCACTATTTAATGGTATTCCCCAAGGCTCTCCTCTTTCAGTCATCCTTTTTCTAATAGCTTTTCTGCGCCTATGCAGACGACTACGTTATTTTCAAAAAAGTTGGCAAACAAAAAAATCTCGACATTGACCCTCTGGTGCATGATATACTGTCTTGGTGCGATCACTCTGGAGCCCAACTCTCACTCCAAAAATGTAAGCACCTTCACATATGTAAAAAACACCACTGCCAAGTTAATGTACACACCTCTCACTCCCCTATTGAAAATGTAACAAACCTACGAATCCTAGGTATAACATTTAATCGTCGCTACAACTGGACTAGCCACATAGACAACCTGCTCGCTTCCCTCTCCAACCGACTCAATATAATAAAATGCCTATCCAGCCAAAAGTTCAATTGCCACCAATCTTCACTGTTACTAGTTTTAAAAGCTCTTATCATGTCCAAAATCGACTTTGGTCTCTATCTATACGGTTCCTCTCCAATCTCTCAAACCAACAAATTAAAATCTGTATACCATTCCGCCCTGAGACTTTCCCTTGGCGCCTTTCGTTCTTCCCCCATCAATAACCTTTTGTTTGAAGCGAACATTATGCCCCTTGAAATCCGTTACCAGTTCGAATTAGCCAAAATCAACAAATTAATACTAAACTCTTGCGACTCTCCTATCAACCGTCCACTCAATACATTATCCAATTCAAAAAGAAAACCAAAAATTTCCTCAACTCTTCTGCGCTCTTTTTTAATTAGTAAAAACCTGGAACTGCCTTTATGTCCCCCTGTGCCGCCAAAAGACACAATTCCACCGTGGAAATTTCAATTAACACGTCACTTCACTCTTTTCCCAAAAATATTACAGCAATCTCATCCTACAAACAACTGTTCCTAGAGCTAAAGAACTCACTCCCTGATTATACATTCATCTACACAGACGGCTCCAAATCTCAATCAGGTACTTCCTTCAGCATTACCACCGACAACTCCACCTTAATCCAAGGTCTCCTTCCCCCATTCTCCTCTGTTTTTACTGCAGAAATCACAGCAATATTACATGCCCTAAAATTCGCCGTTCATGCTAAAAGAAAATATTGCATTTGCTCCGATTCGTTGTCCTCAATCGAAGCAATAAACAACACTTTGAACACCTCTTACTATCCTCATACTATTCGTCAACTCCTGTCAAAAAATTTCCCCTACACCATTCTAGCCTGGATCCCTGGGCACTGCAACATCCAAGGAAACGATACCGCAGACGCCTCCGCAAAAAGCTCCATTAAATTGCCTCTAATCTATCACCCAAATTACAATATCAGCGACATCAACCATCTTATAAAAAAACATTTCAACAAAGCTTTTATGTCTCAAATATGGGAGAAGACCAGCCCCCACTACAAAACTATAAACACCAATAAAATTTCTTTACCTCAATACTTTTCAGCCACCCTCACAGAAAATTGTTCACGCTCCGACGTAACCAAATTCTTACGTCTACGTCTATGTCACTCTAACTTAACCCATAGTTACCTTTTCACCAGAACTCCGGCTCCAACCTGCAGCCTATGCAACTCCAACACCCCACTATCAATCCTACACCTCCTCACCTCATGCCCAAGCCTGAGCTCTCTGCACAGAAAATACTCCCCCACCTCCGCCCTCGATAAACCTGATAAAGTCAACATTATGAATCTCATCACATTCTTAAAAAAATCAAATCTTTATCACCTCAATTAAAAATTAATCCATATTAAAAAAAAAATAATTAACGAATACTACCTATTAATTTATTGTTGTAATTTACTGTAAATACTTTTTTACTTTATTAATTTTTAGCAATAAGTAGTTATGTAGTTATGTAACTTAGCTTAAGGCCACAGAGCTATAGCTTGTTCTTACTGTTCGTATGTCGTTTTCACATCGCATAGGAACATTTAATAAATAAATAAAAAATAAATATTCTATAGGTTTACTTTTAGAATTCAACGTATGCTAAGTGTAACAGACGTATGGAAGGAATGAATAATGAAAACGGAAGGGTGAACTAAACTCTACTCACCCTAAAGAAACAAGTAAAATACATCGGCACTGTATTAGAAAAGCAGATGTGGAAGAAAGGGTGCATAAGACCATAAACGCCCTTTATGCATCTCCGAAGATAGTGGGGCCTCTCACCAAAACTGATTTTTTTGATCTTTTTATACTCTGTACATGAAATGTACAAGAGTATATTAGGTTTGCGGGAGCTGAAAAATGTAACAGGCAGAAGGAGGCGTGGCAGACCCCACAAAGTATATATATTCTTGATCAGCATGACGAGACGAGTCGATCTAGCCCTGTCTGTCTGTCTGTCCGTCTGTCCGTCCGTATGAACACCTGGATCTCAGAGACTATAAGAGATAGAGACACCAAATTTTGCACAAAGATGCCTTATGTGTGTATTCTATACGAGTTTGTTTTATTTTTTTGATTTCCCCCCCCCCCCCCCCCCACTTCCCCCCTATGGGGGTTTTCCCGATTTTCCATTCGTATAATCGCCTATATCTCGGAGACTATAAGACCTAGGAACACCAAATTTTAGTCCCAGATGCCTTATGTGAATACGCAGAAAATGTATATTTTGGAATTCCCCTCCCTCCCCCCTCTACCCCGCAAATCGTAACTCCCGTAATTCTTGGAATTTCGAACTAAAATTTTGGAAATACCCCCAGTTAGTTATTATGTGTCCGTATGCCAAATTTCATTATGATAGACCGATTTAACAAGAAGTTATAGCCATAAATATATTTGCTGATGCAGCGCTGCTGCAGCGCTGCTCAAGCGCTGCCCGCGGCTGTTGTTGATGTTGCTGTTTGGTTGACTGCGAAAATGCTTACACAGACACGAATTGATGCGCATAGGCATACATACACTCACACAAACGCAATTGCTATGTAAATGTGCAATTATACACCCTTTACGTGAGTTCGAATACCGAGAGAGGTAAAATCGATCAATTTTTTTTTTTTATTTTCTTAATTTTTTTTATTTTCTATAATTATTGTAAACATATGTACAGAGTATTTCGAAGTCGGGACACCCGACTTTAGCTTTTTTACTTGTTTTTTATTTTTTTTATTTCCGTTTCCATCTCTTCGCTAAAGAGTTTCGTCAATACAAATTTGGCAAAAACAATCTATATGCAATTATCTACTTTTGTTTTAAATTTCATTCAAATCTGTCAACTGCAGCATCAAGTTCGTTTTTCTTCTTTTTGTTGTGAATTTTAAATTTGTCCACTTTTCACTTCACTTTCCCGCTATTAGTGATTTTCCATAACTCCTCTAATTTTTTTAATTTGACTGATTCAGATGCCAATATTAATTGTAATAAGTAAAATTTAAAGAAAGTAATAAGCAATCTTTGCGCAAGCTCTGTCTGCAGCTGTTTTTTTTGCTTTGTCTCGACTCTGTACTGCCTACATACTCACATACAGACACGCATAGACTCAGATAAACACAATTCGTATACAAATGTGCAGTTCATATACCTAGTAGGTATAATCGATCAACAAATTTTTTATATCCTGTACCAAAGGTTAAATGATTTACTAGTTTTGTGCGAATGTATGTAAAATACAGAAGGAGGCGTGACAGACCCCACAAAGTATATATATTATTGATCAGGATGACAAGACAAGTCGATATAGCCATGTCCGCCTGTCCGTCCGCCCGTCTGTCCGTCTGTCTGTATGAGCGCAAGAAACTCAGGAAGTACAAGAGCTAGAATAACCAAGCTCGTGAAAGTACGAGTTTGAGTTTTTTCGATGCACCCCCACTCCTCCACTATTAGTAATTTTTCAGACCTCCCGCAATTCTTGGAATTTTGAACTCAAATTTTACATCCCGTTTATGATTATGTGTCTGTATGTCGTATTCATCATGATAGGTTATTAATGATGAAAGTTATAGCTATACATATAATCTCTGCCTACTGCTGTTGTTGTTGTTACTGCTTTGGTTCAAATTTGTGCTGCATACATACACGCATATAAACATGAATATACGCGATTCTAATGCAAATGTATGCGTTTGTCTCCCCTTTTATCTGTATGTATTGAATATATTTTCTGAAAATTTATTGAAATAATTATTTAAAATTAATTTTAAAAATTTATTTTTTCTCTCTTGTGTCAAATATTACCATCATGTACCATATGAGAAGATGAAAATGTTGTTTTCTACATATACTTATATGTACTTACCTTGTTGTACATCAAGTCCAGCCCTTTCCAACATGTAAGGCAGACCTATGAAATCAAGGTACAGTAATAACAATATGATTTGTATAGCATAAAATGTATAAATCCGTTAAAAAATAATTTTTCTTACTTTTTACTTGATACATATGTACAAGAGTGTATTAGATTTGTACAAAGTGAAAATTGCAACAGGCAGAAGGAGGCGTTGCAGACCGCACAAAAAAAATGTCAACATAAAAATGTAAGAAATGTAAGAAAGTAAAAGTTTGACCTTTTTCTGATACATCCCCTTCCTCCCCCGCTATAAGTTATGAAATTACATCTCAGGTAAAGTTTCATAAAGTTAGGCAAATAATGTAGAAAGCTTTATTCGTTAATATAATCTCTGATTAGGCTTTATTTTACTTATTTAAGGAGTTTCATAAAGTTAGGCAAATAATGTAGAAAGCTTTATTCATTAATATAATCTATGATTAGGCTTTATTTTACTTATTTAAGGAGTTGGTATAGCATATATAATGTAGTAAGCAAAGTAGAATATAAGCAACATGTACATATTAGCCATAAGCAACATCTTAATCATAAGCAACATGTATATATCATAATGCAACTCATGACATAGAATATACCGACCGAGCCTACAACTCTAACGGAATTTTTTTTGCCACTAAAGCCCTGCGAAATTAAACGTTTAAAAAAAGTACATATAAAATTTAAATCGACAAAAACAATGGAGCAAATCGAAGCCAATAAATACTCAGCAGTGCAACTGAAGGAATGGCTTAACCAATTAGGACTATGCGCTAGTGGCGCCAAGGCCAGTTTAGCAGCTCGAATTAGTGAAGTCCCAATTGAAGTGCGGGGAACAGGGCCTACGGTGGACATTATTCAAGAGCAAGCGGAAACCGAAGAAAACTCAAACAGCCGAAACTTGCAAGGAAATATCCACAGTGCCAACGACTATAGCGACGAATTTCACAACGACGTCGGTAGTGGCGACGCCTATAACGGAACAGTGGCAGTCGACCGCGCAGCTGAAAACGGTTTGCGAATGATGAACAAGGAAGGATCGAGGATTTCAAGCGAAGTAGAAGCTGAAAAAATTTAAAGACCTACAACAACAACTACAGCTGCTGATGTTAGAAAACGAGGCGTTGAGAAAGACGGAGAACGAAAAACAAAATGTTGCATCGGCCAGCGTGAAGGCGATCTCGAGCATTTATCCATTAAATGATGATATGCTGCTAACGACAAAGCTAATAGAGGAGGCACAGTCTTGGTTCTACTCTGACATTAAACATTTAAGCCAACCGGTGAGTGAACTACTGTAGGAAATGGAGGAAATATTTTGCACCAAGCAAAATAAATTACTTCTACTACGCCAATTTGAGCAACGCAAATGGTTGGTGGAAGAAGACTTTGGCGCCTATTATAACCAGAAGATGCTACTGAGGTATCACATTTGTTACGAGCTTTTGGATAAATCCGCCTACCTAGCAAGGCAGCACCTCAGAAGCCAAGGAACTTAGCCGGGCTAGAAAATAAGTCTTCAGTGCGGTGCTTCAACTGTAACTCAATGGGCCATTTGATTGTGGAAGCTTGGAGCACAAAATTTTAACCTGCACCCAGAGAAAAAACCCAACAAATGACTACGTAAGATTCTTTGAATTAAAATTTTTAAAAAAAATAGTAAACCAATTTTCCCAACAGAAGCACAATAAGTTTCTTGAAAGTATCCAGTTTAATGAAAAGCTTAGCTTATAGTGAAACAATGTATGAAAAGGTTAAATGTAATGAAAAATTAAATTTTGATTTGAAAAAACTAATTAGATGTAACTGTGAATTAAATAACAACGAATGTTACAAGTATGTTGGTTTATATTATACCAAACTTCAAATGTTGAGAAAATTAAAATGTTCTGTATTAGTTAACAATAACAACATTGAGTTTGAAAAATGTTTAGTACCAAATGAGTCTATGGGTTTCGAGGCTGTGTTGGGTAGGAATTTTCTGAATACATTTAAATTTAAGCTTACTTCGGAATTAATGCAAATTAAATGTTCCACCCATGGCTTAGTCAAAAAAAAAAAAAAACGGCAACACAAGAAGACAAATAGACAATAGCAATCATATGAGTTTAGCGTTCGATTAGAAAATGAGTGCGGAATAAATGATAGAAGGAAGAATGAGTGTCAACAAGAAGAGAGAGCAACAAATAAGGCAGTAGAAACAATTAGCAGAACAAAAGAGTGTGCAAAGGGACAGGAAAAAATTGAACGTGAAAACCCGAAAAAGTTGGAAAACGAGTGTTTAGTGGAGGAAGAAATAAGAAAATGCTTTAGTGTATTGCCAATAGAATATCCAAAAGAGAATGAGTGGAGTAACTTAAAAATAGGAGAAGGCTGTGGTCCACACTTCGAAATGCGATTAAAGAACATGTTCGGAAAATATTATATTAATGCGAAAAGACCAGAAGTCCCTCAAGTTAAATGTGAAATGAAACTTTGCTTTGATAAAGTGAAACCATTTCACTACCCGCCGAGGAGGCTCTCGCGCCCAGAAAAAGAAGAAGTGCAGGATTTGTTAGATGAATATATGGAAAAGGGATACATAAAAGAAAACGAATCAGAGTATGCGTCGGCAATAGTGTTGACCAAGAAAAAAACAGGAGAGCTTAGATTGATTGATTACAGAACGTTAAACAAAACAAGTAAAAAAGCTAAAGTCGGGTGTCCCGACTTTGAAATACTCTGTACATATGTTTAGTATCATGATAAGCTGGGACATATTGGAATAGAAAAAAATGACAGAGATTATACTGAAAAGTTATTGGTTTCCCAAAGCCAAAGAAAAAGCTAAGAGACACATAGATAACTGTTTGAAATGTATTGCATATTCTGGGAAAAATGGAAAGCAGGAAGGGATGCTACATAATATTCCAAAAGAGACTGCCCCTTTTGAAGTAATACATGTATATCACAATGGGCCCGTTGACAAAGGTAGAGCAAATAAATACATATTTGTTGTAATAGATGCGTTTACGAAGTTTGTCGGGCTATTTCCAACAAAAACTACAAGAACAACTGAAGTCATAAAGTCCCTCAAAGAATATTTTCGATCGTATAGCAGACCAAAATGTACAATATCAGACAGAGGCAGCTGTTTCACTTCTAGTGATTTTGAATGTTTTTTAAATTTAATTAATTTAAAAAATAAAATAAACTCGTCCTTTGTCGGACCTAGGAGAATCTGGATGCCAGCTTTGGTTATTCTAGCTTTTATAGTTTCTGAGATCCTTGCGTTCATCCAGACGGACGGACAGACGGACGGACGGACATGTCTAGATCGATTTCTCTCGTCATGCTGATTCAGAATATACATACTTTATGGGGTCGGAGATGCTTCCTTCTGCATGTTACATACTTTGCACAAACCTAATATACCCTTTTTACCCTAGGGGTACAGGTGAAGTGTGGCACATAAAAATAGAAACAGGTTCACCCCAAGCCAATGGGCAAGTAGAACGAATAAACAGAATATTAGGACCAATGATAGCTAAACTAATAGATCCAGAGGAAGGAGTGTATTGAGATATAGTATTGGAGACAGTTGAATATACGATAAATAATACTAACCAAAGATCGGTAAATCAATATCCAAGTAAATTACTGTTTGGAGTTTCACAAAGAGGAAAACAGATAGACGTACTAAGCGAAGAATTGTGAAAAATTAATGATAGTGTTGAATATATGGATATAGAAGAGATACGAGATAACGCAATAATTAATCAAAAGAAAACACAGGACTACAACAAGAAGAGGGTAGACTCAAAACGGCAAGACGCTCATAAATATGAAGAGAGAGATTTGGTGAGGATTAAGAATTTTGACACCCATATAGGAACGTGTAAAAAACTAATACCCAGATTCAAAGGAACATACAAGATCACGAGAGCATTAAGAAATGATAGATATGTGCTAGAAGATGTTGATGGTTTCCAACAAACAAGAATACCTTATAAAGGAGTATGGGCAATTGCAAATATGAAGCCATGGCTAGGTAACAACAAATCGAAAGAAAACGAAAAGGAGCACTCCAGTCAGGATAGGCCGAATTGTAGTAAGCAAAGTAGAATATAAGCAACATGTACATATTAGCCATAAGCAACATCTTAATCATAAGCAACATGTATATATCATAATGCAACACATGACATAGAATAAACTAGACATAAGCAAAAATGTAAAATAAAATCAGTCGATTTATGAAACGCAAAAGGTGCGCATGTGTCTCGCTGGCTACAATAAGTGTTTTGTTTATTTTAGCGAAGAAATTCTGTTTGAGGTCCAAAAGTGCGCAACACAATTGAATGTAAATAAATTTAGTTTAAAATGATATGTCGTTAGAAATAAAAAGTGCTAAGTAAACGATCCTGGCTTCGAGGTGAAGGCTGGATCAAGGTGTCATACGACCCGTGTCGAAGATCAGCCTGGCTACGGGCCCTCTTAAAAAGCCCAGTCGCTCACGGAGCATCCGGGGTACCTGTCGACCCCCTGGATTACTTAGCCTAGCCCGGGTACTCCGATCTCTGCCCGGGTGGTGTTATCCTTTCTCTGTTTCTCATGGGAATCAAAATAAGAAACATGCATACATTAACGTCGAAACAACAACAACAAAAAATAAAAAAGCTGGAAACCATCCCTCCACAAAGGCCGGAAGGAACTGAGGGAAACGTAGGGGACATCGACCGCAGCAGCGAAGAAGGCAGGATCACAAGTTTCCAATTAGCGATAGCTACTGTCGCAGTGGATGTGCTGAAGGACAACCCTGATGAACCTCCTCAGTGAACTGATGCTGGATGGTACCAGGACAGTGTCAAGCTCATAGCAAGTGACGACGAGTGGTCAGCTGAGCTATAAAGCAAGCGATCAGCAGGGTGGGAGAGGTATACCCGGGAGCACAGCTTGCTGTGGTCGACGCAAAGGACCTACCATCCCATCCGAGGGCCAGGGCCTGCATCCTGGCTAAGAGATGAGTCATTATACGACAATAAGTAGTAACCTACTGATCTGCAACCTACCTTCGTATCTAAAAACCGCAGTGAAGTGTTAGACGTCACGTTGGCGTCCGCCTCTCTTTCGCATAGAATCCTTGCACGGAGGGTCCTGAATGATTACTCATTCTCGGATCAAAGGCTCATATACTTTAGGTTAGGGTACCACACTCCTGCCGCCATCAAAAATCGTTATCTAAGGAAAACCAACTGGAGTTACTATGTGAGATTGCTCATATGGGAAAGAATATGGATTGATTGGTGGATACAGTTTATAAAAACAATTGAAAACCGCCCTGGTGGTCCACTGAGTTGGATGGCCTTCGGGTCGAATGTAGAAGACAATTCAATTCGGCCATTAGGAGAACGAAGCGCTCCTCATGGGCTGTTCAATTATCGAGTCAACATCTGCAGCATCGAGGCTCAAAAGAGTGCTGGCCAATCATCCTTTCCACCAACCCTTCTACAAGGGGAAGATGGTAGGTGGATGGACTCCTGCAGGGACTCTCTAGATCTGCTCACCAGTATACATTTCTCGGGCTGGAGTAGTAGGACAGCCCTTATCCCCCACGCAACGGGGGTACCTAGGCATTTGATAGAAAACATCAATACCGAAGAGCGTATTTGCTGGGCTGTTAGAACCTTTCAGCCCTAGAAGTCTCCTAAACCGGATGGCATCGTCCTGGCCCAACTCCAACAGTCGTTGCGGCACATAATGTCATGGATTCTGAAAATCTTTAGAAGTAGTCACAGGTTCACTGATACTGCCCTACACTCCCTGGTCTCTAGAATAGAGAACTCAATCCATGTCAAAGAGTACGCACTGGTAGCCTTTTTGGACATCGAGGGCGTCTTCAACAATATATTGCCAACGGCAATCACCCAGTCGTTGGCGGATCTTGGCTTATATGGCTCCCTGGTAAACTTCATCAGTCAGCTTTACAGCTGGACTGTGAATACCGAACTAGGGGGACAATTCTATCGCAAGTTCGTTAGCAGGGGCCCTCAACAGGGTGGAGTTCCATCTCCGCTACTGCGGTTGCTTACGGTTAACCAGTACTAGAGCTAGTACTTTCACAAGAAAGATTCCGGAACTCCAGCCACCCACACCAAAAGGAGTTCCCCTGAAATTCAGCCACAGTGCAAAGTACCTGGGAGTCAAACTGCACTGGAAGCAAACTGCACTGGAGCGAAAACACAATAGAGCGGGTGAAGAAAGCCACAAATGCGCTTTACACCTGCAAGAGAGCCATAAGCACCGGATGGGGGTTCTCGGCTATGATTCGACCGATCCTCCTATATAGAATCGTAGTGTGGTGGGCTGCGCTGGAAAAATCTGCCATCCTCATTTTACTCAGCAGGTTGCAGAGATCGGCAGAGTTAGGCATAAGCGGGGCGCTTCACACTACATCAACGGAGCTTCTTAACAAAATGTTCCACCTCATCCCACTGGATATAGTCGGGATGGAACTAGCTACAAACGCAGCCCTTAGGCTGAGTGAAAACTCTGTTTGGAAAAGTTCGCAAAGAGGACATGCAAGTATACTCCGTGTTCACCCTGGAGTTCCGACCCACACTTACTACTGTGTACCAAGACCTATTTTTGGAAAGAAATATGTTGCCAGGATCCCCACTCGAACAGAGTGGGACAGTGGGAGACTGGAAAGTGTGGAGCACCTCATCTGCCACTGCCCAGCGCTCAGCAGGCGCAGACTAAACAACCTAGGAAAACCTTACTTAAACGACCTCTCGGAGGTAATAACCATAGAGCTCGTGGACTTTGCGAAATTTTAAAATACCACCGGGAGGCTGAAGACTGGCCAACGAAAGTAAAGATTACATGGTATCACAACGGGCCTTCGAGGCCTAAGTGGGTGGATGATTATCTTCACCCTCGTCATTGCAACCTAACCAAAAGTAAAGGGTTAGGTCAGGTTGACCCGGTGGGCTGTCGATGGCACCCCGCATAGACCTTAGTGGTCCTTAGCGATGCCGGATAGTTGGAGGTCGGTAGGGGATTGTTATTAGAATTTCATTAGCAGCTTGCTTTGTTTTGCAAACGCCAGCAGTACTTTCGGGGAACATTTAGCTGCAACGAGGCTAGAGCATGTGCGTTTAGGTACCTGGCGTTGTAAGTATAGAGCGCTGGGCAGTGTCATACAAGGGCATCAAGCGTTTCTATCGCTTCGGGTTCTTTACATTTCCTGCATTTGTCCTCAGCTGTGATGCCCATCTTCTTGGCATGGGCCGCTACTAGGCAGTGACTTGTCAATAGGCCAGTAATAAATCTGCACTCCTTTTTTTGGATTTGCAGTAGGAATTGGGTGAATTTGTTATCTCTACCCTTGCACATCATGCGCGCTGTTTTGCAGTTGGTTGCGTTGATCCACTGTTGGTCTCCCATCTAGTGTGAAACTCCCTAGGTGGTATCGGTAGGTGATTCATATCGGTCCGGGCCAGATCAATACCTTGCTTAGCTAGAGTGTCCGCCATCTCGTTGCCCTCAATGCCCTGGTGGCTGGGGACCCAATTGATGTGCACCTTCTTCTTGGCGCTTAATCTATCCACTGATGGCTGGCGCCTGTAGTGATTTAATGGCTGCTTGGCTGTCCACGAAGATGTTGATGCATTCTTCTGTGTTTTTCAGTTTTTCTGCAGCCTTCGCTACGGCGAATACTTCCGCCTGGAAGATACTGCAGTGGTCGGGCAGCCTATACGAGTGTTTGAGTAGTGGCTCTGCACAGTATATTGCCGCCCGGGTTCCTGCCTCCATCTTGGAGCCATCCGTGAATACATTGGTTGCGCGTCGGTTCAGACCTTTGTGCCAGTCCTCTGACACCATAGATGTTGGCGTGTGCTTGAATTTTGCTTCCGGAGCTGTGTAGTCTGTACTACTGTGAAGCTCCCTGCTGATCGAGCTGTGTCCGTAGCCGTGTAAGCCGTATTTTTCGCAAGTAGGCGCGCGTCGTTCTTTATCAGTTTCCGGTATGTGGACTTCTCTGTGGTTTGCCACCATACCAGTACCCCGTGTAACAGTATTGGACGGATCACTGATATGAAGATCCAATTCGTTAGTTTTGGTGAGAGGCCCCAAGTGCTACCCAGCATTTTTTGCGATGCATAGAGTGCATTTGTTGCTTTCTTCACTCTTTCTTCGACATTGGCCCTTCACGTCAGTTTGCTGTCCAATACTGTGCTGATGCATTTGACTTCCTTTTTCGGGGTAAGCGGGGTTCCGTGCACCATCGGTGGGTTCCATCTTAGTACCTTGTATCTCTTTGTGAAGAGAATGAGGTCAGTTTTATCTGCATTGATACTTAGTACTTTGCCTGTTGCCCACCTTAGTATTTCTTGCAGAGTTGTGCCCTTTTGGGCTTTCCCGCGACGTTGTTTGAGGAGTTCGTCAACCACTAGATTCTAAAGTAGCGGCGATAGGACTCCACCTTGTGGTGTTCCTCCTCTTTGTTATGATCATGGTTCCCCATTCCACATGGAATGTGCTACCCAGCAGGTTTTGAATCCACGTGTAAATTGCGTAGTGTAATAAGTTCAGATGGTAGCGTTGGGTGCTTTGGATCCTAGTCCAATCATCCATGTTGCTTCATGTATCATCCATACAACCCGGGAAGTGCGTTTCTAGTAAAGCGACCGCCGCTTCTCTGTTGATGAACCATCTTCTTTCTTGAGCTGACTCTGTACGGTTGGCTGCTTCGAGAGCAGTTTCCTGAGTCTCGCAGTTTCTTTCACATTTTCTATATTACCGTAAAAGTAAATCAAAAAATAAAACAAACTCGTATAGGGTACACACATAATGCATCTTTGTGAAAAATTTGCTAGCTCTAGAACAAGAATATATATAGTTTGTGGGGTCTGCCACGCCTCCTTTTGCCTGCTACATTTTTCACCTCCCGCAAACGTAATATACTTGTACTCTTGTACATTTCATTCATATATTTAAACATTTCATTTATATAATGAAACAAGTAAAAAAGCTAAAGTCGGGTGTCCCGACTTTGAAATACTCTGTACATATGCTTAGAATAATTATAGAAATTAAAAAAATTAAGAAAATTAAAAAAAAAAAAATGTTGATCGATTTTACTTCTCTCGGTATTCGAGTCACGTAAAGGGTGTATAATTGCACATTTACATAGCAATTGCGTTTATGTGAGTGTATGAATATCTATGCGCGTCTATTCGTGTCTGTGTGAACATGTTTACAGTCAACCAACTTGGCATACGGACATATAATCACTAACTGGGGGTATTTGCAATTTGAGCTCGAAATTTCAAGAATTACGGGAGTTACGATTTGTGGGGTAGAGGGGGGAGGGAGGGAAATTCCAAAATATACATTTTCTGCGTATTCACTAAAATTTTGTGTCCCTAGGTCTTATAGTCTCCGAGATACAGGTGATTATACGAATGGAAAATCGGGAAAACCTCCATAGGGGGGAAGTGGGAAACTTGCACAGCGTATACACATAACGCGTCTTTGTGTAAAATTTTGTGTCTCTAGCTCTTATAGTCTCGTAGATCCAGGTGTTCATACGGACAGACGGATGGACGGGCTAGATCGATTCGTCTTGTCATGCTGATCAAGAATATATATACTTTGTGGGGTCTGCCACGCCGCCTTCTGCGCTTTAAATTGTTCAGCTCCCGCTAACCTAATATACTCCTGTACATTTCATGTACAGAGTATAAATATATACTAGTATGATTAACTTACCTCCAGCAACGGAAAATGTGCTTTTTTCACTATTTCTTTTCTTAATGGTGCAGATATTTGTAGAGTTCGCGAGTGGCATTGTAATTGATCCCGAACTACTTCCTTGTTGAAAAGAATGAGCAAGATTTGATATTGTGATAGGACTATTAATATTACAAAAGTGTTCCTGCTTATCCGTTATGTCCTATAATTAAAAATAAAGGTATTTATTAAATGTGGATATTTTATATTTTTAGGAAAACAATTTTACAATGTTAAAGCAAATATTACTTTTGAAAATTGGACGGATCTTTGATTTTTTGTTGTGTGGACTATATGAAGTTTAATCTCAAAGGGCAGTTTCTACAGTATTCAAAAATGCATTTGGGCATAGAAACCGCACTTCACACAGAAAATAGTCTCCAATACAAATAAGACGCGATGAAAATGTGCTATGTCAAAAGTTATGAACGTGGGGCGGGAGATATATATGTGTGGCAAGTTGTCTGTTAGGCTTTAGTAAGGCAAAGTCCAGTGTCCTTGTCCCGACTGACAACTTGCTTGAGTAAGAATGCTATATAAAAGAATTTGCGAATCGGCTGGTGTAATGGTTAGAGGCTGCTCCAGATTTGACAACTAAAACGATGTAATTTGCCGGGTCTTTAGACATGAAAGAAGGACCACACGCTGATGACTAAAACTTTTAAAACTCCAGTATCTAGATTGACACCCTTTTGAAATGGTTGTTGGCCTAAAACTGGCGTTACTTTAAATACGCTCGAATTGCATAATCTTTTAATCGATGGCACAGGATGTGTCTTGGCTCTGAACACAAGTACTCATACTTGTGCTGCTTGCTTTTGACAGTCACCGTGAGCGGACGTCTAAACCGAGTCGCATTGATTTCGTAAGTTTTGCTGATAGGCAAAATCGCTTAATCCAAGCGGATAAAGGGGCACTGTGAAAAACAGTAACAAGTGCAGCTTGCATTAGAGTGTGGGGCGAGAAGCCTTATAAGCTTTCTTAGTTTACAAAAGCCACCGACAACGGGCACATATTTTGTGCCAAATATAATCAGTTTAGGTCTTCGCTTAATTAAAAAACCAGTGGAGTAGTAGAATGTCGAGTGCGAAGAGTCGTTCCGCTCTTCGCAGCTATTCCAGTGTCGTTAGTAATACTGGTGTCATAGGTCGTCCGGTATCGTCGTCCGGAAACGAAACGAAATGGAGGTGGAGGAGTCATACGCACGCCGTCCGTTCGCGAGCTGACTGAGGTGGTCAACAACAATAAGTTGAACGAAGTTGGAATAGAAATGCAACGCAACAGGGGGATTTGGCCAAAGATTATGGTATCTGATGTAGATACGAACTTGAAACTTGATGTCTTCATAGGGGAATTGTATGAGAACAATTTAAAAGGTGACTTTTCGCCGGGTACCTTTAATAAGGCCATGTTGATGGAGACAACACAGTGGACTGTCGCCAATAGCGCCAGTCCCAATCTGGCACTTCAGGTAGACGAGAAACCGGTGGTCATACTTAATAAAACGGGTCGTGTCTATCACAGCACGACGCATCACGGGATTTCTGTCTGGATGCGAAAATGCCCCGATAAATGTAGGAAAGCAGCCGTCACTAATCAGGTAATCACCGACCTTCCTATGATCCTATGATTCTAATCTATTTATAAGGTGAACTGGTGGTATGCCAATCTCGCGTTTTGCAATTTCTCTAAGGATTTTTTTTTTTGCAGAATACAAGAAGCAAATTTTGTCAGCGAATGCGTTTTTTCGTGAGAGTTCACAGCGATGACACATAGGTAGCGTTGCATTGTAGAAGAAGGATATTTCTCTGAAGCGGCGAAGGGACCACATGTTGCTTTACTATATATTATACGTCTTATCGGGGTATCTACCTCCTGTCAGTATTTGGTAAGGTACTTAAGGGGATGATGGTCGATCGCGTGAAAGACGCTTGGAGACACGTCGTGAGCCCGATACGTACTCTGCATCTTCGTCAACTTCAAGGATGTCTTCAACCACGTGAAATGGGACCGTGCGCTTAATTCTAGCTGAAAAGAAATGGGCTTGTGTCAGACCTTCTTCTCTGACAGGAGCGAGGGTATGATCAGCCCACAGGGGTCCATTTCAAACGATTTTGTAATGGACGGGCACCATGCTCCTGAAGGGCAAATTATCGCCTGAAATTTACAAATGTGGTAATGAGATATGAGTGCTGTTGTCCTAGGATGCTGCCTGCGTAAAATTGTTGGACGCTTGGTTGCGTAATAAAACGAAGAATTCTTTAAGTGTAAGAGCGAAAAGAAAAACTGATCGGAAGGCGGATTCCAGGCAGCGATATTTTATCTGCATCACCTCCGGAACTGAGCTGCCTTCCTTAATGAGATTATCCACAAAAACATCCCGCTGAAGTACTTATTCGCCAATTGGATATGAGGTCTGTTCATCCATGGTCAACTGGTGCATTGCACGCACCGCGAGAAACGAAGCAGGTTTTGTGCCGTATGTTACGGTATCCAAGTTATACATCTGCACTTCTTGCTGCGATATATCGAGCCAAAGAATACGTTACAAGAAAGTGTCGGGCCCCGCCATCCATACCAGATACATCTTACAAACATCGCTGGCATTTTGTTTTTGTTTGTTTTTTTTTTTTTGTAACAGGTGGGCTATGTTTGCAATGTGTCTGATTGGACAATCAGCAAATTATAATGGGAGAACAATGGCATTAGAATTTTGTTTTATGTGTGACTTAGTTGGGAGGTTGGTTGATAGAGGTGCGGAAGTATACTATAGTTTGGCGATGAGGAAGGTCAAGTGGGTGACATCTTCTAAGACCGTGGATGGAGGATATTACAGTTGCTTCGGCTGGTAGTTCCCCAGATCGGAATCCCATACATATGGCATACATCACCTGTGAGTTAAATTTTGAATGAATGAAATCGAAGCAATGTGTTGAAGAGCTTACTTTGAATGGTGGGACCTGCCATCAAAACTTCATTTAGTGAGTACCCACAAGTTGTTGCCGCAGATCCATCAAACACAACTTTGAGCTTCGTGGTTGTACTATCCTCCTTTAGGATGCAATGGTGCGGTAGATAGTACTTGCATTTATCTCTTGAGTCATGGTTGACAAGGGACATGTGATGCAAGTCCTTGTACTCCTTTATGAAGGCCGAATAATGGACCTTTAAATTGAAGCTGTGCTCCAATTTTCTCTCCAAATTTAGAATAGAGAGGCGCGCCTTCTGGTACGAGTCACCTAGAAACTGCACGAGTTTTTTCGCAGGCATAGAATACTCTCCACTATGTAGGCAGACGACGTTGGCCTTAAAATGCGCTTCGCACTTCAGCTCCTCCATGGTGGGCAGCATATCCGTATTGATGCAACTCTCCAGCTCCCAAAATCTGGGCATGAGCCTTTCTATGCGAACATTCAACTATGTTTCCTCATCTCTTAAAGACAGAACAGATACGAGCGCCGATTTAAGAACCACTTCCTGTTATAATCCATCCCAGACGAGTCTTCTGGAGCACCGGTAATCCGGGAGCCAGTTTGATCTGTCCAACGCAGAGCTGTTCGAAGAAAAGGCTGGCGCTGATCAGCATGTCGATTTGTTAAGGCCTGTTAAAGCTAGAATCAGCCAAACAAATATTAGCCAACGCATGGTATCGAAGCTAATATGGGTTGGTTTCCAGTGATAGTTCGTACCACCAATGCCGAAATGCTTGTTGAGTAATTTGACGGCCGAGACTCCAGACTATTGTCAAACGAGAATCCATTGGAAATGAAATAGATCCGACCAAGCATCAGAGGCAAGCACTTGAGCTATGGATCCTTCAAAATACCGAAGGCTGTGATGCCTAGCTCCGCATACTCTACAGGCCTTGCTGATTCTATATTAATAGCCCTAATGGAGACAGTTTATGGCGCAGAGCTGGCGATAGATTTGTGAATTAGGTGCAGCTGTGTATTGAATGCCCGCGGCATCACAAAATACACACTCTATCGCACTAGTATTAGTAGAAACAACAGACCTTCTACTGATGTTAGTATTTTTGCTACTCTTTCCCACCTGTGATTCAGAATTATTCATATTTTCCAAATTTTGGAATCGCTCTTCCAAGAATGATGTGAACTGTTGTAGCATCGGAACGGTGTCAAATGGGACAGTTTCTTACGATTTGAACTAATCGCATTGGTTAAGCTCTGCAGCAGCATAATGGATAATGACACAATCGGCAATCTGCTGTGAATTTCCCATTACATGTAGTGCCCGCCCGTAAGCAGTCAGCTTGTTCTAAATCACAAAGATATTCAGCTTTGCACTAGAAAAATACTATCTGATTTGCAGATGCAGCCAATTTTTCGGACGCTAATACGGTGGTACAAGTGAATCATCACTATCCATTATTTCGATAGCCTTTTTTAGTCTATGGGTTTTGTCTGAATGCGCGTCAGAGACGACAATTATAGCACGATCAATTTCTATTTCAAATGTATATTTTGTTCGTCTATGAACCTAATTCAGTTACACAATTTAAGAGGCCACAGTGGTTGCAGTAGCAAATGTGGTGAATCTGGACCAAGCAGCACACGAGAAACTTAAGGACAAAGGACCACCGCCGGGGTAGCACTTCCAAACTCAGTACCCCAGAGAAGAGCAAACCTAAATATCATGCCAAACATGTCAAGCCCGCCATGACAGGAGCTGATCTATAGAATGCATTCGCGCATTTTGACTTTTGCCAGCTGTTTGGCGCGTTTTGGCTCTTCATCTTCCCCTCACCACAGTACGCTGTCGTTGGTGTTGCCATTTCTACCGTCTGTCCGCAGAAGATAGCAGCGGCTCAACTGTTGCCCACAGCTGTTACCGCTGTAGCTGGCAGTGCTACGATGGTTAGTAAACTAGTGTTGGGCAGTGGTTCGCTGTAGCTTGAAGGCCTCGCCCCAGGCTTTGAGCACGTGACATTTGTGACTACGCCTTCGCGTTATTGGCCGTTTAATTTCTACGTGGCGGTGTGTTTGCCCAACGTTCCCGTTTCGTACATCAGGCGGTTGGTTAGTACATGGTCGTCCCTTCTGTGCCTGTAACTGACTCTGTGAATTTGTATATGTTCTAGTTATTCTCACCTGGGCAGAATTCCTCCTTTGTCGGCAAGTGTGGTTTTGAGGTATCGCACGT